AAATCATTAAATTGCACACGTTAGGGGAATTTTGTGATATGTAAGTTATACTCAAGCTGGGTGGGTTTTTTGTATGTGTTTTTTAAATCGTTGATTTAGAGAGAGGGAATGTCAGAGAGAAACACACCGATTGGTTGCCTCCTGCACATGCCTTGAGCAGGGCCTGGGCTGGGGAGGAGCCTGCAACCAAGGTATATGCCCTTGACCAGAATCGAACTGGGGACCCTTTGGTCCGCAGGCTGACGCTCTATCCACTGAACCAAACTGGCCAAGGCTGCTCAAGCTGTTTTTAGGAAATAGGAAGTGTGTCGCCCTCCTTCTCAGGATACTTGTGAGGACTTGGTGACGTTTTGCCAAGCTGCACTGTGTGTGCACAAGGGAGCAGGGGATGGAAAGGAGGCCTGAGTGGGGTTATGCATCGGGTGTAGTTTTCATGGGGCACCCAGCTCGAGCCACCTGCCAACAGGAGGTGGTAGTGGTTCCATCTTGCCTCTGGCTTGGGAAACCCTAGCCCGACTCTGCGGCCCTCCCTGCGGGTGGAGGAAGGCCCAGCCCATAGGGCCAGAGCTTTTGTGGTCAGAGCCCAGACTGCTGCCAGGAAGAGGGGCTGACACCCTCCTGCCTTCAGCAGCACAGATAGAAGCCGAGGGCTTCCCTTGGGGCCGGTGAGGACATGCATTGAGGTGCCAGTCATGTGGGCCCCGGGGCAGCACAGTCAGCTTTAGAGTGGACAGATGCAGTGCCAACGACACAGGTGCGGCCAGCAGCCCCACTGCCTGGGCCAGGCAGCTCGCAGCTGCTCCATAGAGCGGAGGCAGTGACGATGGTGGAGGTAAAACTTGGGCGAAGGTCCCATTGATGCCAGACGAATGCCTCCGGCCTCAGTGCCCCCCGAAGAAAGGAACTGGTCCCTGTTGCCTAGACTGCTGTGAGGATTAAGGGGGTGATGCATGTGAGCACCTGGACCAGTGCCGGCACCAGTCCGCTGTCCACAGGAGCTGAGTGAGTGTGGGCGCGCCCTTGGCCAGGCTCCGCCCTCTTCCAGGCCTCACTTTCCTCACCTGGATACTGAGGGGCCAGAGGTGCTCCCGCTTCCTGACTTGGGAGCCCCCCAGCACTAGCTGTATGACCTTGGTCAGGTGAGTCTGTGCCTCACCCCCCTCGCCCCTAAGAGGGGGTAATAATAATGCCCACCCGTGGATCAGGGAGGGAGGGAGGTCATCCTTAGAACGGGGCCTGACACGTAGTAAGTACAATCAGAATGTTCGCAGCTGCTGCTGCCGTTGTCATTATTATTTTCTTCATCGTCTGGATGTGGAAGCCGAGGCCCAGAGAAGCAGGGTGACTTGCTCAAGGTCACCCAGCTGAAAAGTGGTGCTCATTAGGGTCAAGGCCGAGGCTGCTGAGCCCCAAGGCCCGTGCAGGTTCCATCACTCCCCACCGCACCTCTGAAGTCACGGGCGCAGTAAGTGGGTCAGAGGCAGTGAGTACCTGGGGGGATGACGCAGCAGCAGGGACCGTGTGTGGATTCATTCCTTGTCTCCTGCTGACACCTTGCAGGGAACAGGCCTGAAGGGACAGGGAGGTGGGCAAGGAAGGCGACCCCCAAAACTGGACCCTAGGAACCAAGGCCATAGGTAGAAAGAGTTTAATCTGATGTAGCCCCAGGCCCTCGGGCACTCGTGGCCTATTGATGGGGACAGGCAAGGAACAGCTGAGACACCCCAAGATACTCAGGGTCCTGAGAGAGACACACCCTGTCTGAACCCTGGGATCCGAAGAGACAGGAATGGGAATGGGCAGGAGGGAAGGCTTCTGGAGGAGTGGGACCTGAGCGTGCTGAGGCCCAGGAGCTGGCGGGGGCGGGGGTGAAGGCAGGTAGCAGGGATGTGGAAGAGGCTGCAGAGAGACATTCCAGCTGGAGAGAGGCGGCGCAGGGCAGTGGTCAGCATGAACTGAACCTGGGGTGAGGGGGCAAATGGTGGGGCTAAAATCCACTCTGTGGCTGTGCCCCTGACCCAGCCTGGTGCCCACCCAGGGCAACTCTGAGGCCAGAGTAGCCGGGAGGAGCCAGGCACCAGCAGACCCTACAGGAGGGAGCAAAGAAGGGCTCCTAGCACCTTGCAGCTGCCCGTCAAGCTCCCCAGTGATGTGGACACAGCCCGAAGTGGGAGCATTGCACACGTGTGAACATGTGCCTGCACACGGGCCCACCTGCCTCAGCAGCCCTGGGGGGTCCACACAGTTCAGGAGAAGTGGGTCAGCGGAGCAGCCCAGTGTGTCTCCCTAGTGGGCAGCAGAGGGCGTGTGCTCATCAGCACCCCTGGGGAGAGCCCCACACTCCACAGAAGGCGGCCTCACTGTTCCCGCTGCATCAGAGCTAGCGACTCGCTGTCCCCGGGATCCTCCAGGCGGGGTGGATGTTGACAGGGGGTGGGAGAGCTGACCCCTTCCAGCCCTGAAACCAGGGAAGACTATGGTGGGAGATAGCGCCCACATTAGCCCAGCTCCCACTGCAGTCTCTGCCCCAACACCATCTGGTGACTGCAGCCAGAGGGCCCGGTGCTATCCAGCCAGGCGCTGGGATTGCAGAGACGTGGTGACGGTGTATGGCCGGTCGGGTTCACCACACGGGGGGGTAGAGGGAGGGGACAGGATGGGGTCTCTGGGGGCCTGCCACCATCCCCCCTCTGGGGGTCTGACATGGGCTGGAGACACTGAGGGCATTCATGTGGCATTTCAGATGGTCTCCTGGCATATGTTCAGGCTGAGAGAAGTAGGAGAGGAAAAGCAGTGGGCAGGGGAAGCTTCTATTGGAACAGGCTTATTCATGAATGGAGGAGGGGGGGCCGAATAGGGGGGCAGGATCCTGAGGAGGAAGGGTGGGAGCCAAGCTGAGGAGGGAGGAGGGCCCCCAGCTCCCAGCCAGCTGGGAGACTGCAGATGGGGCTGGGTGGGAGGCCAGGAAGTTCCCTCCTGATGTTCCTCCTCCCTGTGAAGTGGGAGGCTGGGTCGTGCAGAGGGAAGGGGAAAGCAGAGGAGGGTTTGGGTCTAGGAGAGCGGCTGAGCCAGGGTGAGGATGCCCGGCTCACGGAGAACTCACCCTGCTCCCAGCCTCTGGTCGAGCGCAGCCAGAGAGAATGTAGATTATACTGAACCCGCACACCTCACACAGAGAGCACTCTTTGGGCCAGACACCAAGCACTTCACGTCTGTTAACTCATTGATCCTCACAACAGCCCAGAGGGAGAAGGGACTCATCCTCCTTATAGATGGGAAACTGAGGCACAGAGAGATGAAGTACCTTGCCCAAGGCCAACCAGCTAGCAAGTGACAGAGCTGGGGTTCAAAGCCAGCCGTCTGGCTCCAAGTCTGTGCTTTCTCTCAGCCATGGGTGGTCTTGCAAAGGGTGGCTGTGAGGGTGTTGGGTGGCACACCTGGGATGGAGGTCGAGGGGTGTACGGGGAGCAGAGGAGGCTCCAAAGAGGCAGGCTCCTGTCAGCACCGAGAGCGCAGTGCCGGCCGCTCCTGCTGCTGCACACCCAGCTCCCCAGTCTAGTCCTCCCCCCATCAGACAAGAAATGCAGGCCCAGAAGGGCATTCACTGTCACCCAGGCCTGGACTCCCCACTGCAGCTCTCGGCCCCGAACACCATCTGGAGACAACCTGTACCTCTAGGGGGTGGGTGTGTCCAGCTTTGTGGACACTGAAGGGGTCAGTGGAAAGGGGAGAGGGCGGGTCTGGGGCCCAGGCAGGGTCCTGGGACTCCAGCTGTGACTCTGTGTACCTCAGCTGCCTGTGCTGTCATCTGTGGTGGTGGAGGGATTATAAGCTGTGGTGGGTGTGTGGCCATATCTGCACCATCTGCCAGAGTGTTCTGAGACTGTGGCTGACGTATTTGATAACATGACCTCTGCCCTCAGACCTGGCCTTCCCCACTCCTGCCTTATTTTTGTCTACAGCCCATATCCCCTTTTCTCGTAATGTATACTTCATCTGTTCACCAGGTGTATTACCCACCTCCCGGAAGGTAAGTCCCCCGAGGCAGGATTCTTACCTGTGTGTCCAGTGCAGTGTCCCCAGGGCCCTGTGGCACCTGGCCGAGGGCAGGTGCTGATCGGCACTGTGAATGGGACCACTTCTGTGAACTCCGTCCCTGGCGTGCCTCTCTCTCTCTCTCTCTCTCTCTCTCTCTCTCTCTCTCTCTCTCTCTATTTATTTGATGCTGAATTTATTGTGGGGCCGGAAGCTTTTGTTCCTTCCATTCCTTCTGGGACATCTTTTTCTCCTGTGCACTCCTCCTGCCCTTTCTCAGCAGGGTCCTCTCGGTGCGGCAGGGAGAGCTCGTGCGGGCTAACCCGCCGTGAGCTCTGTACGTTCTGCCCGCATCTTGGCGGCTTTGTTCACCTGGGTGTGCTCGATGACCAGACAATCTACATCTGAGCCCTTGCGCTGTGCATTACTCTCTGCATTTTTAAGCACATGCAGCAAAAATTCAGCACTCCGTTTTGGCCACCGGCCCCGTGTCCAGCCCCACGGCTTGGCCTGGGCACACCTGCCAGCTCCACCATTGTAACGACGAATGGCACACATTGCTTCTGCAGAGTGAACATGAAGATTCGAACCTCTTGGTTTGCATGATTTTGTGGGGTTTTCTGGGTCAGCTGAATAGCAAACCGCTTTTGGAGGTCACCTCTAGCTGCTCTGAGGAAGTTATGGCGTGTCTTTGTGTCAGTCCCATCCCTGACACTGAGTCTGGATGACAGCAGGAGACAGATAGGCTGGCAGTACCCAAGTGGGGGCCGGTGGCAGTGACTGTCTCTGGGGGGTGCCAGCTCAGCTGGTCCGGAAGCTTTGGGGAGGGTAATGCAGCAAAGATGCTTGTTGCCCATTGTGGTCATCCTGGGCCTGGCATCTGGCCTCCAGGGGTTCTAGATACTGGGGAGGGAAAAGGTAGGTGGAGAATGGGGCCTGACCTGATGCCACATCCCCCACAACAGGGAGAAGATGAGCGTGGGCTGCCCAGAGCCCGAGCCACCCCGCGCTCTGCCCTGCTGTGGGCCAGGGACGGCCCTTGGGCTGGGGGCAGGCGTGCCCCTCCTCACTGAAGACATGCAGGCCCTGACCCTCCGCACCCTGGCTGCTAGCGATGTCACCAAGCACTACGAACTGGTGCGGGAGCTGGGTAAAGGCACCTATGGGAAGGTTGACCTGGTGGCCCACAAGGGCACAGGTGAGTATCTGTAAGGCAGCTGGTGTCATGGCTTGGGTGGGGACTTAGCTGGGGCTCTCAGGTGCTCTCTGCGGGTGCCAGGAGGCTAGCAGGGAGGAGAGGCAGTGGTCCAGGTGAAGAGGATGCAGCCTGAGTGGCCCAGGGAGGAGAGCAACAGGCAGATGGGACAAAGGAATCTGGAGATGCCTTTGGGACAGCCAAGAGGATGCACCCTAGGACATCTGGAGCTCAGGAGGAGGTCAAGGTCAGGACTGGTGGTGGTGTTGGGAGAATCACCAGCATATCAGTGATAGCTGACCCCAGGGAGATGGACAGACTGTGGGTCCTCCAGAACAGGGCACCTGCTTTGAGGAGGGTGGGCGATGACTCTGTGAGAACAGCGTGGCAAGCTCCATTCCTCAGAGAGTTTCAGTCAAGGTCATGCAGAGGGTTTGAGCTAGGATGAGGCCCCAGTCCTCAGGTCCAGAGCCTTCTCACTTAACCACAGAACTTGCTGCCTTCCCCACACTGTAGGCTCACAGCAGTGCCCACTCAGTCCCAGATGGGGTCTGCATGAGCTCCCACATTTGCACACACCTGGGGCAGGGGGATCTATGCCAACTGAAGGCAACAGGAAGATCACTGGACATGATGTCACCTGAGCTTCGCCACCTGCTTGCTGTGTGACCTTAGGCACATGACTTAACCTCTCTGTGCCCAGGTTTCATTCTCTGTAAAATGGGGTAGCATTAGTGCCCAGCTCATAGGATCACTGTGAGGAGTCAGTTGTGAATGTGAATTGCTGAAGGCAAGGCAAGTGCTCTGTGGATACACAGGTGCCTGCCCAAGCGCACAGTCAGAGATACCAGTATGTGCCTTGCAGGCCCGCACCTCCCTGTGTTTAATTCCTTCTCATTCATTCATCCATTAAACAAACATTTGTTGAGCACCTACTGTGCACCAGACTCCTGTAGGCGCTGGAGATGTAGCAATAAACAAAACAAAGGTCCCTGCTCTTGGGAAGTTGTGTTCTTGTTGGGGGAGACAAACGCGCTAAGTAAGTCTAGTATGTCAGGAGGAAAATGAAAGGGTGGGGCAGCTGCAGCCTGGGTGCAGAGGACCCAGCTCGAGCCCTGACGTGCTGCACGGCCTTTGGCAAGTGCTTTCCCCTCGCTGGCTCTGCCCTCTGGGACCCCATTGTGCCTTGTGCCTGGGACAGGCTGTACAGACAGGCATGGGTGGTGTGTCAAGTGCAGGAGGGCAGGAGCGGGGGCCTTCACCACTGTTGCCCTGCCAGGCATGAAAATGGCGCTGAAATTTGTGAACAAGAGCAAAACCAAGCTGAAGAACTTCCTGCGGGAGGTGAGCATCACCAACAGCCTCTCCTCCAGCCCCTTCATCATCAAGGTCTTTGACGTGGTGTTTGAGACCGAGGACTGCTATGTCTTTGCCCAGGAGTATGCGCCTGCTGGGGACCTGTTCGACATCATTCCTCCGCAGGTACTTGGGGCGGTGGCTGAGGGAGGGGAGCCGGTCTCCAGGGCCCAGAGTGTGGGTTGGGAGGAGCCAGGACACTCATTTACTCCATGAGTATTTACTGAGCTGCTGCTGGGAGGGCAGGGGATTCACAGTGAACAAGACCAAGGTCTGGTCCTGGTCCTCTCGGGGACACAGACACTGGGCTATGAGCCAGATGACAGGCTGCGATGAGCACTGGGAGGAGCCGCTAGAGTGAGGGATGAGGGCCAACAGCGGCCTCTGCAGCTGCAAAGGACCCGGTGGAGGCACCAAAAGGGAGGACAGGGCTGCAGAGGCTCCCAGGAGCTGCCGAGGGGGGAAGCAGGAGGGTCCCAGCACCGGCTTTGCTGCTGGCCGTGCCAGGTTTGAATCTGCTCTGCCGCCTACTGATCAGTGACTAGGTCAGTGGTTCTCAACCTTCCGAATGCCGCGACCCTTTAATACAGCTCCTCATGTTGTGGTGACCGCCAACCATAAAATTATTTTCGTTGAAACTTCATAACTGTAATGTTGCTACTGTTATGAATCATCATGTAAATATCTGATATGCAGGATGTATTTTCATTGTTACAAATTGAACATAATGAAAGCATAGTGATGAATCACAAAAACAATATGTAATTATATATGTGTTTTGCGATGGTCTTAGGTGACCCCTGTGAAAGGGTTGTTCGACCCCCAAAGGGGTCGCGACCCACAGGTTGAGAACCGCTGGACTAGGTCTCTCACAGCCTCGAGGTCCCTACAAGAGAAATGGGCGTAATAGGAGCCCCTGTGGAGTTGGTGAGACAGGACAGATAGGGTGCTTCACACAGCAGGTGGCCCGTGGTAGGCGCTCAGTACCGCCTGTCGCTGCAGTTACTGGGGAAAGGGCCAGACAGGGACCAGAGATGCCCCGGTCGGTGCGGGAGGGCGGCCGGCGCTGGGGGAGATGAGCGGGGCCACAGGAGGGGCCAGGCCCGGGCTGGGGGTGGGACCAGAGTGACAGCTCTGGCGGAGGGGAGGGGAGGGAAAAGGAGGGGAGGGGAGGGAGGGGAGGGGAGGGGAGGGGAGGGGAGGGGAGGGGAGGGGAGGGGAGGGGAGGGGAGGGGAGGGGAGGGGAGGGAAAGAGTGTGGGCGGGAGATGGAAGGAGAAGGACCGGGTTGGGGGTGGGGCCGGCGGCCCTGAACGCGCCCTCTCCCCCGCCCCCGCCCCCGCCCCCAGGTGGGGCTCCCGGAGGACACGGTGAAGCGCTGCGTGCAGCAGCTGGGCCTGGCGCTGGACTTCATGCACGGGCGGCAGCTGGTGCACCGCGACATCAAGCCCGAGAACGTGCTGCTGTTCGACCGCGAGTGCCGCCGCGTGAAGCTGGCCGACTTCGGCATGACGCGCCGCGTGGGCTGCCGCGTGAAGCGGGTCAGCGGCACCATCCCGTACACGGCGCCCGAGGTGTGCCAGGCGGGCCGCGCCGACGGGCTGGCCGTGGACACGGGCGTGGACGTGTGGGCCTTCGGCGTGCTCATCTTCTGCGTGCTCACCGGCAACTTCCCGTGGGAGGCGGCCTCGGGCGCCGACGCCTTCTTCGAGGAGTTCGTGCGCTGGCAGCGCGGCCGCCTGCCGGGGCTGCCGTCGCAGTGGCGCCGCTTCACCGAGCCGGCGCTGCGCATGTTCCAGCGGCTGCTGGCGCTCGAGCCCGAGCGGCGCGGCCCGGCCAAGGAGGTCTTCCGCTTCCTCAAGCACGAGCTCACGTCCGAGCTGCGGCGCCGGCCCTCGCACCGCGCCCGCAAGGCCCCGGGGGACCGCCCGCCCGCCGGGCCGCTGCGCCTCGAAGCGCCCGGGCCGCTCAAGCGCACGGTGCTGACCGAGAGTGGCAGCGGCTCCCGGCCCCCGCCCCCGGCTGTCGGGCCCGTGCCCGTGCCCGTGCCCGAGGCTGGGCTGGCGCCCCCGGGCCCGCCTGGCAGGACCGACGGCCGCCCGGACAAGAGCAAAGGGCAGGTGGTGCTGGCCACGGCCATCGAGATCTGCGTCTGAGCCGCCCTGCCGCCCTCGGGCCGGGCGCTGGTTCCTGTGCACGCAGCCGGCTGGGCGCTGGAGCCGCCCTGGGCCCCGCCAGGCGGGTGGCGGGGGCGGTGGGGTGGCCGTGGCCGTGGCCGTGGCCGTGGCAACACCGCCCAGCCCGCGGCGGTGGAGGGAGTAGTTGTAGTCTAGGCAGGACGGCAGCCCCGGCGCCCGTCCATCCGCTTGAAGGGCTGGGGATAGACACCAAAGGCCTCTGGCCTGGCCTGTGGCGCCCATAGGAGCCAAGCCCCACAGACCCGAGGGTTCAGAGGCCCCCCTGACACCTGGAGCAAGGGAGCTTGCGGGTGGACTCCCCAACACCTCCCTGAACCCCAGAACATCGACTAGTCGCCCCTGGCCCTTCGCACCCCCTGGCAGAGCATCCCTCAGCCCCGCCCCAGTCCTGCCCTCCTGCCCCTGACACACCCTGGGCACAGAAAGGGGCAGGAGTGTTGGGGCAGAGAAGAGGCTGAGGACCCTGGGCGCTGCTGGAAGGAGGACAATGAGCTGGGAGCAGGGTGTTGCTCACCTGCATCCTGCGGGCTCCTGGGAGGCTGGAGGGGAAAGGCCGGCCCCTTGCAAAATGTAGCAAATGTCTGGGTGTTGCAAAGTCTGTGCCCAGGCACAGGCCCTAGGAATCCAGTGACTCCTCCCCACCCGTTCTGATGAGGATGCCGATTGCAGGAGGGCAGCTTGCCTTGGGCCACCAGACCTGAGAGGTGGAGGTCCCGTAGCCCTCACCCTCCTCCTCAGAGGGCAGAAGGGCTCCCAGGGCAGGGACCCCGGCACCCCTAGGGTAGGGGAGTGTAGAGCCCAAGGCAGGGCCCAGCTCCCCTGCCCGCCACACCTTCCCCAGGCCCAGGGAACCTCTCAGATCCCCCCAGTCCTGCTGCCCAGCCCAGAGAGTGCCCTGGCTGGCGGTGAGGTGATTGGTGCCAGAAATTCCCCTGGGTCTCTGCTGGGTCAGCCTCGGCCAGCCCTGTCCCCACGGCGCACATTTCCCGTCCTGGCGTGTGACGCCGCGGGTGTGAGAACGGGTGCCGAGGAAACAGCAGGGCGTGGGTGTGCGGTGTGAGCGCACAGAGTGCACACGTGTGCGTGCAGCCTTGTGTGTCGAGTGACTGCGTCAGAGGCCTCAGCAACTCCTCCCTGCTCCAGGGCTCCTGCCGGGCAGCTGCCAAGGGCACCAGGCCTGCTTCTCACCACCCCCTCAGGGAATCCGCCAGGAGGCACCCACAGGCTGGTTCAGGCCCCAGGCAGCACAACCGCGGAGAGGAGCCCAGCCTCACACAGGGCTCCCTCATCGCCCGGCCCGCTGTGGAGGCCCAGGACCTGCAATAACCTCAACATGGTGAGGCTGCCCCCTCTGCCTGGCAGGGCACCATTCACCACCATGCGCCCCACCTGCCAGGTCCCTTCTGGCCATTTGAGAGGGCTCTGTAATGGGCCAGGCTGACCAGAGGAGCCCCGACCACCCTCTGGCCTGGAGCCCCCCTCCATTCACCCCTTATTCCCACCGCACAAAAGGGCTATAGGTCCCCCTGCCCTGCCTGGGTCCAGTTTACAAACAGGTTGCCCCAGGGCCTGGCCCCCACCCCCTCAGTGTGCGCCCTCTCAAGACCCACCTCGCCAGCAGGCATCGGGGCCTCCACACGCCAGGTAAGTAGCAAACCCCTTCTTTCACCAAGGGCCAAGGCCCGTCACTGCCCCGGACCCCGGACCCCGGAGCCCACCACCGGCACCTCTCCTTTTGCCTTAGGCCTTTCGACATCCTGTCTCCTGCAATAACAAGGAAGCGAGATTCCAAGTAGATGTCCCTCGCGTGCGTCCTCTCCCTCTCTCTGTTGAGGTCCTCGTCTTAGTAGCTAGGATGTTAGCGCTGGGAAGGGACGGTAGTTGTGTAGCCCAGCATCGTCAGGGCACAGCGGGGGCAGGGACGCTGACTCAGCAGGGCTGGAACCAGGGCTGCTCCGCTGTGGCCGCGGCTGCCCCGGCTGGCTGCGCTGCGGGTTGGTTGGGACCCTTTGCCCCTTAGGAGAGGTGTTGGTCACAGATGTTTACCTCAGTTTATGTCACTGTCGAAGAAACAAAAAAATAAATAGCAAAAAGTAACACCGTAGACATGAAGACTTAGAAAACAAAAAAAAAAAACTTTAAAGAAATCCTCCCCTTGCTATCCCTCTGTGAGGTGTGTGTGTGTGTGCGCGCGCCACGTCTCTGTCCCACCCTGGGCAGGCCCCCTGTCCTTTGGTGCTTCCCAGAGGCCCCTCTGAGCTGGCCTGTAGGGTGTGGGGAGCCCCCTGGGCAGGAGGCAGGGCCACAAGTTAGCTAGCGGGTCTGCCAGGCCCCTGAGCAGAGCCTCAAGGCCACCAATGCTCCCTGAGCCCCTCGCTGTGGCCGATGGGACAGTTGTGGTGGCATCGTAGCCAGGCTCAGGGCCTGGGTGGGACCCCCCAGCCCCACATATATTGACACCCCCTCCCCATGTGTTTGTAAATACTCTGGCATCCTTTGGCCCTGAGGAGGTTTTTAAATGTGTTATTCTCTATCATGACAATTGCTATAAAATAAAAAATTCAGAAAAATTACCACTGGGTGGCTGTCTTGTCTCAGATACAGGGCAGTGGGGTCCACAGAATTACTCTGGAAACGGAAAACTTGACAAGTGTCTGCACATGCCCGGGTTTCAGGCTCCATCCCCAGTGGTGGTGGTGGGGCGGGGGGTGCAGGGGGCAGCTACTCCAGGCCTCCTGCGACCTCAGACCTAGAGGAGGCCCAGGCAGGGCCTGAGCATGAGGCGAGCAAGGACCCTGGGTCTGGGGGAGGGTGGGGAGTGGCCCCTGCCTGGGGGGGCTCCTCACCCTGCGCCCTCCGGAGCTCTCCAGGCTCAGCAGCCAGCATGCGTCTGGCCACAGATTAGACGGTCACTGTTTGAAACCCTCCAGTGCCCCAAGGCCCCAGCCTCACCCCTACTCCTCTCCCCTGTGCTGCCTCCCACCACATTGCTGTCACTCACGGCCTGGACCCTTGTCTTGGACTCTCCCCAACCTCCCAAAACCCCTCCCTCCAGGCCCCGCTCACAGGTGAACTCCTGGGTGCCCCCCAGGATACAGGCACTGCGTTATGCTGAGCACTCAATGCCTGTGTCTGTCTCCGCCCCTCCCCACCAGATGGGCGTTCCCTAGGAACAGTCAGTGCTGCCCTGGCTGTGTGGCTCCGTTGTTTGGGCACCATCCCGGGCACTGAGAGGTTGCAGGTTCGATTCCCGGTCCGGGCACATGCCCGGGTTTCAGGCTCCATCCCCAGTGGTGGTGGTGGGGCGGGGGGGGGGGGGGGGGCAGGGGGCAGCTGGTCCATGTTTCACTCTCTGGCATTGATATTTCTCTTTCTCCCTCTCCCTCTCTCTCTAAAAAGAAAGAAAAACATTAAAATAAAAAAAAGGACAGTCAGCATTTGGCAAATTGTTACTCCCCTCCCTGGCACGTGACAGCCCCCCCCCCCCCCCCCCCCCCCGCCAACAATTTGTCAAATGAGTGAGTGAAGTGAATGCCCAGTGCTATTAGGGGCTCAGGGTACAGCAAGAAACAAGACAAATGGTCTGTCCCTTGCAACTTATTTTCTAAAGAGGAAAATAGACGTTAAATAGGTTACACAGGGGCCAGCCCCAGCACGGCCCCGCCCGCCGCCGCCCTGTGTGCCCTGAACCGCACTTGCTCTCCGCACAGCCACCTGCTGCTCCCCCGCGGCCCCGCCACGCCCCGACATGGCTGGCAAAGCCCACGGGCTGAGTGCTGAGGAGAGGGACCAGGGCTGCCAAACCTGAGGGCCGGGGGGTGGAACGAGCGGGAAGGCCAAGACGCATCTTCAAGCAGGTCCGTTTCCAAGACTTCAGCCGGGCCCTTGGCTTCATGACAAGAGTGGTCCTGCAGCTGAGAAGCTGGACCGGTGTCCACATCACCGTGAGCACGTGCGTGTGCAGGCCTGTCGGACGGGACATGAACCTGGCCAGCTTCATCCAACAAGTAGCAGTGACCATGACCTCTTGAATTCTTCAGGGAAAGGGGTCACTGAACTGGAAATCTAGAGCGAAAACAGGGGAGCCCCCCCAAAAATGCTGCTGCAGTCAAAATTGCCATGTCCACCTTGCGGCCTCCATTTAGGGGTGAGTCCTTGCTGTGGAAAGAGATGCTAGCACCTCTGCCAACACCAGGAACTTAGACCGTTTCCCCCCACACGATGCCCTTCATCTTGGGGCCCTATTAAAGGCACCCTCGTTTGAGTAAGATCTGCCCATTCCTTACAGCTTCCCAGCAACAGTAATGACTTTCTTTCCAGGCCGTATTTTGCTCCCTTTCTAATTCATTACCCAAGAAACTGTGGTAGAAGCTGGGTCTAAGACAGAATCTTAGAAACCAGAACCCTGATGGCAACCCCCTCCTATGAGATAGAAACACATGCTTTTTATGCCTCAAATAAAACTTGTTTCACTTGGGGGAAAACAGGTTACATAATTATCTGTGAAATAGGAGTTGGGGGAAGGAAAGTGGGGGTGAGAGGGGAGATGAGGAAAAAAATCCACTCAGACCAGATCAGAAGGTGAAGTACACCTACCCAAGAATTTGATCTAAATCCTGTTATTTCAAAACATCTGCCAATTGGCTGCAATAAGGGCGGGTGCCTTCACTTAACAAAAATACTTGGACCCTGGCCCAGGAGCTCCGTTAGACCATCCTGATGCGCCAAGGGTATGGGTTCCACCCCCTGGTCAGGGCACACACATCAACCCGTCGCCCTGACCAGTGCTGCTCAGTGGATAGAGCATCAGATCAGCCCATGCACGAAAGAGTCAAGAGTTTGATTGTGGGTCAGGTCAAGGGCACGTACTGGGTTGCAGGTCGATCCCAGCCCCAGGTGAGACACCTGCAGGTGGCAACCACTGATGTGTCTCTCACATCAATGTTTCTCTCTCTCTCTTCACCTCCCTTCCTTCCACACTCTCAAAAAATCAATAGAAAAAATATCCTTGGGTGAGGATTAAAAAAAGAGAAACAACCAACCAATGAATGAATAAGTGGAACAACAAATCAATGTTTCTCTCTCTCTCTAAAATCAATCAAAAATTTTTATTTTAAGAGATATATATTTTTAAGACAGACTACTTGGACTGTTAAAAGGTGGAGGGGAAATCTACAAATGCTAGCAATATCTCTGCGTCCCTTGCTCGATGTGCAAATATCACCTTTCTTTCTAACGCCCACTGAGTCGGAGAAGGCCGGCCCTTACCACTAGGGGGCCTCAGTCTTCTGTGCTGCTGCTTCTGCTCGCCACCCGGCATCACCGCTGACCTCAGGCATCCCCTAGGGCCGCGATTTTCAACCTTTTTCATCTCATGGCGCACAGAAACTAATTACTAGAATTTTGCTGATCTGAAAAAATAATAGGTATAATTTGGATTCATTCACACCAGATGGCTATGTGTTGGCTGTCGTCATTTGTCTAACTGACGCTCTAAGGGAAAAGAGGGGAGGGCCCCTGACTAAGGAGTCAGGTATTGCATGTCTTAAAAGTTCTTGCAGCCACCGGTTGAAAAACCGCTACTCTGGGGTGTTATAGCCATCCTCCTGCCGGGCCCAAGGGGCTTGATCCGAAGGGTTCCCAGCCTCACCTACACGCTGTGTCAGAGCCAGCCCAGCCCCGTAGGCCCTTAGGTCTTTCCATTTTGCCTGGGTCACCTCCCCTTGACCAGGAACGCTTCCCCCTGGGGGCACTTAGGTTCCTATAACATTGAACTTCAGAAGGGAAGGGCTTGTATTCTTGATTATTTTTCCCCCCAAGAAGCATCATGAGCCCAACTCCTCACCAGTGGCAGCTAAGCCTCAAGGGTCCCAGTGTAGCCGTCACACAGGGCGATGCATGCTACTCACTCACATTGCTGGGGGCGAGAGTCCCCAGACGGCATCTCTCGCACGAACGTGCAAAGCCCCACCCGCCCAGCTCGTGCCTGGTTCCGGGTGGAAATGTGGGCGTGAGGCGAGTAATTTAGAGGTATTTACTGGCAGCTGAGGGGATGAGAATGTTCGTCACCCAGGCTTGGGTTTCCGAGCTCCGGGGCAGTGGGGGAGGCCAGGGGGCTCCATTTGGGGACAAAGGAGGGCAGCCTTCAGGGGAGTTAGGCTGTAGCATTCACACACTGTACTGTACACTTGAAATTTGCTCAGAGTATATGTATATCTTAAGTGTTCTCACCACAAAAAAATGAGGTGATGGATATATTTATTAGCTTGATTGTGCTGATCATTTCACAATATACACGAATATCAAAATATCCATCTGTATACCTTACATGGGTACAATCTTTATTTGTCCATTTTACCTCAGTCACGCAAAGAAGAAAAGGAACTGGTAGGCTGGGCACGGCCTGACTCTGGAGACAGTGAGCCCAGCGTGGGAGCCCTCGGAGTTCAGGGAGGGGCCTGGTGTCCTCGGGAAGGGGCAAGGGGCTCCCTTCAGTCATTCTATTTCAATGTTAAAGGAAAACGGAGGGTGGCTGCATAAGGTGGAGGATTGGGGCTATTTAATTAAGGTTATGATAAGGACCACGGGATGCCAAGAATAATAGCAGATGTAGATAAGGACATCAGTTTTTGCCTGCTCAGCCCCAATTCCCCCCCTCTTTGGGTGACGGCACCCCACATTTCCCTTCCACGATTTTTTTTAAAAAAATTTTTTTATTGATTTCAGAGAGGAAGAGAGAAGGAGAGAGAGATAGAAACATCAATGATGAGAGAGAATCATTGATTGGCTGCCTCATTCACGCCCCACACTGGGGATGGAGCCCACAACCTGGGCATGTGCTTTGACCAGGAATCGAACCGTGACCTCCTGGTTCATAGGTTGATGCTCAACCACTGAGCCATGCCAGTCGGGCCCTTCCATGTTTTTGATCCATGTGGTTCAAGGGGGGCTGGCTCTACCTCTTGGCTCCAAGGAGTGACCACGTGACCCAGGTCTGGCCAACCAGCCTCCTGCACCCTCTGAGCCTTGGAAATTGGCTCAGGCATGGACATGCAACCTGGGTTAGGCAGCTCCTACACCTGGCCGGGAAGAAAGTGTTCTCTTTTCCTGAGAGTTGCTAAGCTTGTGGATGTCAGCCAGGACCTGCTGGTAGCCATCTGTGCCACCCCTGGGGGAGATCCCAGCCAAGCATGCAACCTACAGAGTGAAGGAACCAGGACCAAGAGCTGAGGAAAGATGGATTCTGATCACATTATTTGAGCACAAGGATCCATGACTGAAATCAGATCTAAATGGGTTTTGCAGTTACATGAGTTGATATAGTCTCACAAATCCATTTGCCCGGCCAGTGTGGTTCAGTGATTAAGCGTCGACCCATGAACCAAGAGGTCCCTGGTTCAATTCCTGGTCAGGACACATGCCCAGGTTGCAGGCTTTACCCGCAGCAGGGGGCGTGCGGGAGGTAGCTGATTGACATATCTCATTGATGTTTCTAGCTCTCTATTCCTCTCCCTCTTTCTCTAAAACCAATAAACACGTATTTTTTTAAAAAATCCATTTGAGCCCTAGCTGA